TTCAACACCAGTACTGTTTGGACAAGACAAGAGGTTTGTGTCGGTTTTTTCTTTTTTTTGTTTTTTTTTAACAGCTATGCTAGTCTGTGCTACAAACCCTCAAAACAAAAGGTTACTTTTGGAGTTACTTATCACTGCTCTTTTTTTCACGGGTTGGTGGGTCGTAACTGTCCCCAAAAGCAGGTTTGTGCAAGAAGCCTAGCATTCCCTGTTAGTTAAGTGGTGATATTAGGTGTGAAAAAATATCGATATTAGTAAACAGATAAATTTATTAACATTTAGTTAATGGAAAGGAAAACAAAAGCAAAAGTGTCAGGGTCATAATTCAAGTCTTTGAATAATTGCAATTGTGCATGGTTGAGATTGACTGTATAGCTATATGCGCAAGTATATACTTCTTATAAATAAAATAAGAAAGATGGTAAGTTTTGAGCTCGGTAAAGAAATAGAGAAAGATGTTTTCGTCATGTCACGCGCGTGGGACAACGAAAAATTCTGAGTCCCCATGACGTTCGACTCCTCTCTTCCTGAGTTATACCAAAAGGAGCATTCGCCCGAAGGATGCTGATTAATAAATGTAAATCAATTGTATTTGTTTGAGTGTTCGTCCATTTGCCTGTATGATTTATTTCATTGCTTCTTACTCATATCATACGGTTTGTTACACCCACCCAGAGTCATTCAATCCGTATCATTGTTTCTGCGGGTTGCCTTGCCAAGCAGTTGGTTACAGGTTCCAAGTGTCTAACTCTGAATTCCCGGATCAAGGTGCTGCAAAAATACTTCATGAACGATATGGCTTTAACAAAAGCATGGAATATCAGAGGTGACTATGTGTAAATAGCAGGAAAAATAGAAGTTCGGCCATATTTCCGATTATTCAAATTAACAAAGTGACACATTCAAATTGGCTACAACCATCCTATATCCAACAAGCGCAAGTGAAGTGACTTTTGTTAAAAATAAAACCGATAGAAACATCTCAAAATATGCTAAACACATCCCCAAAATGCTCTGCTTATAAGGTACGCCTGCGATATTTAGAGTCCATGGTGTATTAGCTTAGTCAGACACAGTTTCCAGTTTTTCCCGAAATTCAAGAACTTCGATCAATCACGGATAGTTTTAAGTAGACCATTTTATGAATCGACACTTTTTGGACTTATGTTCATTGTCACATAGATAAAACTAATTTGTTTTTATTTCTTTTGGTACTGTTGCTGTTATTTTCAAAATTGTTGCTTTCCAAATCCGCAAATTAAGCACTCGGTTTGAACCAGTCAAAGTATTTGAGAAGTCAAGGCCAATAAATATCCGTTAATGTTATAATATGGAAATTATTTTTACAGGGGGACATAATATTAGGGAAATGTTCTAATGAGCTTTCCATTTTTAAATCCTCGAAAAATCCTACACCTTTTATTTAAAGAAACTTTCTTAAGATGCCTAAGAAAGAGCTGACAATTAATTAGTTTTTGCACTGTGTTCTCTAAAAAGTTTAAAAAGAAAAAGCAGAAATCTAGCCGTAATTTTTTTCACGTGGTCTTCCTCTGACTTACAGGAGAAACCTGGTTTTCCTTCAAATTGGGTTCCAGTACCAGGGGTATACAGTCGTGAAGGAAAGAGCAAGTTATGGGATTGAGAGCCTCTTAGGTTTGAAAATTTTGTGCTAAAAATAATTGGATTGACTTTATTAAATAAAAAAAATAAATAAATAGTCTTTATTTCACTGATAAAATACATATCAAGTTTTAGATATAAAGTGTAATGGGCTAAAATATGTATTAATTACTTACAGCTAAGTTATGCTTAAAACCAAGTCTATTAATGAAAGAATTTTTAAAACGCTCAGTATTGCAAAGTATTGTTGGGAAAATTAATCTGTTGGGTTATTGGAATCTAACGGACGTGTCTCCCTTAACTACTTTTCTCTTCTAGCCTTTTAGATTATTATTTTTTTCAGTGTAAGACTGGCAGATGGAGCACGGAGACGAGTGCAAAGCTTCTTAACAAGAGTTTCTAGTTCCGATTCTTTTAGCTTTCGCTTTTCTGCAGGACAGCCAGCTTATTAGAATACATTGTAGTAAACTTTATTTGAAGAGATTACCTCGAGACAGTGATAAAATTGATTACCCTGCAGCCCAATTTTTTGAGCCTTTGAGAAATTTTCCGATGCTGATAAGACCAGACTGACTAGATAACTCACTGGTCTGTTTTTTATATATTTTTTCCATTTCATTTTTAAATTTTGAAAGTTTTTCTATATTATTGTTATCACCATCATCAGCATTATGGTCACTATTGTCATCATCATTATCAATATTGTTATTATTATTATTATTATTATTATTATTATTATTATTATGGTAAACTTACAGGTAAAAGAATTCATTGCATATATCAACATCATGCGGGCACAGCCTAGGCAATTTAGACTAGGATATAAAATATATATGTACACGTTGTAAGTTTAAATAAATCTAAAATAATGAAAAGTAACAAAAAATACACACCTGAATGAGATAAATATATCTTATTAGACGTTTTGTTGTGTAGTATCCGTGATTATTATCCAACTACACTTCGTAGAGTACAAATAACGCCATAGACGAGTACAAATATCACGCGGTATTTGTACTCTAGAGTACCGGTTAAACAGGTTTTCACGCATCGCGCAAGCGAAGAGTTGAATTGTAGTTACGAAAAAAAAAAATGGCGGACAATTTGAATCATATTTCCGACGACGAAGAGTCAGAATGGCTGGCAAATATACATCCAAGTTTATTAGATGAATCGAACGAAGAAAAACAGCTAGACGACCTGGAAATTTCTTCATTTATTGAAGAAAATAGAAACAGCAACACGACAACGCGCCAATTCCGTTCCGCTTCGCATACTTCTGTCACGCACTCCCCGTAAATAAATATCCGCGAAATTCGCCCGCACTGAAATAACAGTTTGGCGTGTTGGATAATAAATAACTTATTAGACGTTTTGTTGTGTAGTATCGCTGAGTATTTTTACTCGTTATTTGTATTTTGACTCGCCCTACGGGCTCGTCAAAATACGGCACAACTCGTAAAAATACTCAGCGATACTACACAACAAAACGTTTAATAAGTTANAAAAAAAAAATAAAGGCTGATAGTTTCTAAAGAAACTGTTTGGGGCTGCGTCGGTGGGGGTAACGAAATAATTTGAATATATCAACAAAGTTGAAATGGTAAATTGGCCACCGTTACGATTATAAAAGCTGACGTTTCGAGCGTTAGCCCTTCGTCGGAGCGAATAGAGGAATTGTGGGTTGTGTGTGCTTTTAAAGGCAGAAAATGGAGCTACGTGATTGGTGGGAACATGGCAACGAGAAAAACACGAATAAATTAGTGGAATGAAAAGCGTTCGTTGATACCTGTGGGATTTAGACTGCCGGTTTGAAAGATGAGCTTTTGTTCAAGAGTTTTACGGCTTTCCGTGCTACCTAAGTGTAAGGAAAGACCGCAGATTGCCATATGTTGCTTAGAATGATTAGGTAAATTAAAATGTCTAGCGACTGGTTTCGATGTGTCCTTGTCATTCCTCTCCACGTCGCGAAGGTGTTCTCGGAAACGGTCACCTAGTCTTCTGCCTGTTTCACCGATGTAAATCTTTTTGCAATAAGTGCAAGTTATACAATAGATTACAAAACAATTGTCAGGAAAAGTACTGTGAAGGTAACATCTGGCGAAACTCGGTGATTAACGTTACTTTTCGTTCTCTTTCTGTACTAGGTGATCTTGGAGGCAACATGGGACTATTTTTGGGCTGCAGCATATTGACATTGTTTGAGTTTGGAGACTTGTTGTGGAAAATCTTGAAGTTCAAAGAGAATCAAGTTCAAAAAATAGACTCTCTAGGAAGGGCCAAATCTGGAACAGAATAAAAAGAGAATGTTTTGACCAAGAATTTCATATAGCGTAGTTACTATTTTAAAGCACTTCATGATACAAGCACTTTGAAAGTGGTTTCCTTGTCATTTGGCCGTCTCAGTGATTGTTGTATGTTTGAAGATTATTTTCTAATGATTACTCGAATGTATTATTCACACAGATGAATTCGAAAAGTCTTACACCATAATTTTTGTCTGTAGTAAGGCTTTTGTCTCAGTCACAAGGGACTAAGATCCAAAATATCACGGCCGGTTAGCACAAACAGAATACAGCGATTACTTAATTCAGTCCAGACCCATGTTCGTGCCATAAACTTTTGTATACCACAAGGGTATAATCGTTGTATTCTACTGGTGGTAAGCTATGTCAACGTGGTTGTGCATGCGCTGATTGTGAAAGGTTCCTTACGCACTGTATGATGTGTAGATTGCGGCTTTATGGAAAAAAAAAAAAAAAAGAAAAAACGAAATAAGCTCACTGAAGTCATAAGGAAACTCTTTGACAACCATCTTAAATAAAACGCATGCATCTAAATCCTCCTAATACAAAAGCACCCATCAGCAAAGTTTGGCAGCTTTGTCGTTGACATGTCATTCAGCCAAAACTGTGGTGGGATTTCACCCCTAAGCATTAAAATAGATTCCCTGCAGCGGGAAAAACAACCAAACGGGTGGTTCATTTGAGAATTTAATGGTTGAGGTCCATACTCTAAATAATTTTTATTTGCAGATCGGAAATAAATAGTAGACACCATTAGCAGGCGCGTAGCGTCCTCTACGCATATACGCACATGCGTACTTGAAGTGACCAGAAAAATTTTAAAACAATGTTGTGTTTGCGCCAAGTTTGTTCAAAATAAGGGCAAGACGCTTTGTTCTTTGCTTGTATTCACACAACTATTTCAAACAAGAAATAAAGAACGCAGTATTTTTCGCTCAGTTTACTTAAGTTTCTAGATCATATGTACTTGTGCGTACTTGAAAAAATGACCACGCTACGTGCCTGATTAGACAATATTAAGCCTTTCTCTTATAACCCTAGTAAGTAACCGTATAGTTACAATTTCAACCCCTCGTATTAGCAATGGCGTTTTAATCATTATGAGACACAAACAGAATATTGATGAAAAAGGGTCATCACCTGCACGCAATAAATTTGTCCATTGAACTCAAAATTGTAATTTAGATTTAAGCCTCGGGTTGGTCATTCAGTCTGTAGTGATTAGACCTTTGCATTGTCAGCTTGAATGTCAAACTTATTAGTGAGAGGAGGTCTTTCCTTCGGGAAACAATGGTGTGAATTCTGTCTTGGTGAATATTTCAAATAACAAATCAAAGAAAGGTGGCACACACATTTCATCAGCCCTTTGTCCTCTCAATCTGCTTTATTCAAAACTCAACTGATATTGCCGGAAATAAAAAAAGGAGTATAATTCCATTTCTAACTGTCAAGTCATTATTTTCGTGAAAGGTATAATTTGCAATTTTCGTTTTTTTCATTTTATTGTTTTATTATTTTTTGATTTATTTTGATATTTTTCATTTGCCTTTTAGGAAGGAAGGAATAGCGGTATTGTGTCGTTATACTTTTTTTTAATGTTTAAGAAAGGCAGGCAAAATAAAGATTGTTTTGGGTTTCATTGTGTTTTAATTATTCATGCTCATGCAGAGGGACTTCAAAATTTGCAACTCTCTTGATTGAAAAATTTGTTTCTTTGGCCAATCAGGCGTTCTTTCAATGCTTCGATCACGGACTTGATCGAATCAATCGAGCCAGAGTAACTATTTGATTGACAAAGTACTTTAAGGTGTAGCGCAGACGAATTTTGGCTTCGACTCTTCAACTCATCCGATCATCACAGCTGTCACGATATGGTTGCCGCAAAATGGCGAAAATTTGTGTCTGATACAACCGTTCACGGTCTTCGTTATGTTTTTGAAAGCCCTTCGAGATTTCGTCGATTGATTTGGCTGCTGCTTCTCTTGGGTGCAATCGCGATTGACATCTACCTCTTGAGAGAAAGTGTCCAAAAATACTTCTCGAAGCCTTTTAACACAGAATTCACAGAGGTTGTCCCTGAAAATGGAGAAGTTTCGTTTCCTGCAGTGACAATTTGTAACCTAAACCGATTCGTCAAACGGAAGATTAATATGTTTGAGAATGACGAGGACTTTCACAAAATGGGGTTAAATCTCTCTGCGTGTGAAGTCGTAAATAAGGTAAACAAATCCATGAGTTGTGGACAAGGGCTACTGTGTGCTTTTGAACAATTTGGTTGGGCACTTGCAGAGAATTGCAATGAGAACATAAGACAGCAAATAATTACTGCCCTTAACAGGACAAAAGAGCCAATTTTCAACCCCGAAGAATTTATAGGAAATTTCGGACATGACTTTGCCGAAATGTTTCTTCATTACTGTCGCTTTCCAGTGTCTCAGAATTGCACGAGTGCCGATTTTCACCAAACACTCACCAAAAATGGTCGCTGCTTTACCTTCAACTCCGGGAAAAACGGAACCAAAGTGCGCGGTACAAAACGAGCTGGAGTATCAGGAGGTCTCAGTGTTATTTTAGATGCACAGGCCTACGAAAACACTGTGAGTGAATTCTCACGCGGGCTACGAGTTGTCGTACATGATCCAGGAGCCATTGTAAATTTGGATAAAGGTTTTAACGTCTTTCCTGGATCACACACTCTTGCAAGGATAAATGCGATAAAGGTAAGGCTTGTCCTATCCCAGCTAATAGGAAGGTTTAAATGTGTTTCAATAATATAAAAAAAAAGATTTTTGTGAACTAGATGATAGCCTTTTTCTCTAACATACACGATGCTGTTTCTTTATTTTTTTATGTACTTGTTGATTCATGTAGCGTCTCAGGCACACGGGCAGCTTGCGTCTATCGGTTAAATGTAAATTTTTTTTTATCTCTAAGCTTTGTTTCTTTTCATATATGAAGCAATTATGACATCAAAGTAACTAATCAAGTTCTGCAAATGCAGTAATCTAAGACAAGTTTCCTGTTTCTATAAAACTTTCAGCGTGAGCGTCTTCCCTATCCATACAAGTCTGACTGCACAAGGAGAGTCCTTCCTAAAATACCGCGTTACAGTAGAGATGGCTGCTTCATACAATGTAAAGCAAATGTTACCTTAAAAAGGTGCGGCTGTAGAGAGATTGGTGTTCAAGGTAAGCAAGTACTTAACGTAATGGTCAAAACATTTTATCCTCGCGTCGCCAGCAAACTTGGCGTGGTAAAATAGACTCTAGCGGCCTCCAAATTCCTTGGGGTACGTTAACCTTCCACGGGGTAAGCTGAGTGAAACCTCTCACGGGCCACTGTCAAGTTGTATTCATTATTCAAATAAATCTGATATTTCTCGTTTGCATCTCAGTACCATCAAACTCGCCGGTTTGTACATTTCAACACGAGTTCTGCGTGGAACAGAGTGAAGGTAACACGAAACTCCAGTTGCATCAGTTTACATTATCTAGAAATACATTGAACATTTTCATGACCATCTATAACATGGATGCCCTGACCAACGGGGCTAACGTTCGAAACGTCATCTTTAGAAAATCGTTTAAATGCCAATTTAAACAGCATCACAGTTTCTTTAGAAACTTGCCCCCTTTATTCATCTATAGCATATTAAGGTG